CGGGAGGGGGCTGGGCTGGGCCGGGCCGGGCCGGCCCGCGGCGGTTGGGCCTCGTCCTCAAGGGAGGGAGGCGGGGCAAGGCAAGGGAAGGCACTGGGCGGCCTGCTCCTGCCCGGCCACTGAGGCTCCCTCTCCTCCCTTCCCGCCCGGCAGGAGACGCTGGCCAACCTGGAGCGGCAGATCTACGCCTTCGAGGGCAGCTACCTGGAGGACACGCAGATGTACGGCAACATCATCCGCGGCTGGGACCGCTACCTCACCAACCAGAAGTGAGCGCCGACCACGGGGCGCGGGATGGGCTGGCGGGGAAGGAGGGGAGCCCTGGTAGGGTTGCCAAGGCGGAGTTGGGAAAATCCTGGAGGTTTGGGCTGGAAGCTGGAGAAGGGGAGGGAGCTCCGGAGGGATGTTATGCTGTAGTGCCCATCCTCCAAAGAACTGATCTCTGTCATCTGGAGATCAGTCGTAATTCCAGAAGATCTCCAGGACCCACCTGGAGACTGGCAACCCTTTTCCCCCTCCCCTGGACTACCCTGCCCAGTTCAACATCCAAAGGACCTGTAGCCACACTCAGGTGCTGGTTCTCCGTTTGGGGGGCTGCTGGGCACTTTCCTCCCCCAGGAAGATTTCCGGGGCCCTTGCCACCATGGAAGGTGGTGTGAGGGCTTCCTTCTATGTCTCTATCCTTCCTTCACAGCACTTATTCTCTGTCTAGGAACTCCAACAGCAAGAATGATCGACGGAACAGAAAGTTCAAAGAAGCTGAGCGCCTCTTCAGCAAGTCCTCAGTCACCTCGGCCGCTGTGAGTCCCTTCTGTCTGCATTCCCTTGGCTTGTGGGAGGCGGGTATAAGACATGTTCCATGCGGTGTCACACCAAAGCCTGGCATTGCTGCTTCTGAGCATTGCCCACACAAGGTTGTCAGCGTCAAAGAAAGTAGCAGGCGGCCCACCAGCTTCTCCATCACCCTCCTAGGACTTATCTAGCAGAGGCAGGTTCTGTGGTACTGGCAGGAAGGAGCCATTGCACTTGCCTGTCTGCTTTCTTGAATGTTTGGGGGGCCGAGTGAGAATTCTGCAGTCTGTCTCCCATGTTCACAGGCAGCAAACCTCTGAAACCCAGTGCTCGGAGGCAGCCTTGTCCTTTGTGCCCTTGTGAGTTTTTTTGGTCCTCCACGGTAACTGGCTGACCACTGTAGGAACAGGGATTATGGATTAGATGGATCTCTGGTCTGATCCAGCAGGCCTGTTCTCATGTCTAGTCATGGGAAGTTCCACCCATCTATACCACATGCTTTTGAACCACCACTGCCTGTTGCCTTACTTTACATTGTATTGTCATTTCTCCATGACCAGTTGCTTCGTGCATTAGTTGGCTAAACAATATATATTGTGCCTGTGCAGAACAACAACGTTTATAGATGTCCCCGTCCCCCACTGATTCTCCTCTGGGGATGTGATGGATCTAACCAAGATTCTCAGGATCCTGGGTTTTGTGCCAGGAAGCAATTGCTACGCTTGTGTAATGTGGTTAAGGTTGTGGGTTTTTTTGTTATATGCTGTTTTTTCAGATGTTGCTGAAAATTAACAAAGCAAGGCAAATACCAACATAATCGTAAAAGTCACCATGAAATCCAACAGCAGTTAAAACCAGCAAAAAGCCCCAAACCATTGCAACTAAAACAAGTGAAGAGCATTTCGGGGGCCAGGGGAGAGTTCCAAAGCTTGTGGGCAGCACCTGTTTGCTTTCGCACAAATCTCTGGTTGGTGTAGCTGAGACAGGGCAGGTTACCACCAGGTGGGGCTCTCAGCTGATCTCTGAGCGAGGGCAGCAATTTATGAGGCCCAAGCCATTAAGGATATTAACAATCACATGAAGTTGCCCTATACTGAATCAGACCCTTGGTCCATCAGAGTCAGTACTGTCTACTCAGACAGGCAGCAGTTCTCCAGGGTCTCAGGCAGAGGTCTTTCATGTCACCTACTACCTGATCCTTTAAAGTGGAGATGCCAGGGACTGAACGTGGGACCTTCTGCAAGCAGAACAGATGCCATGTCCCCTTTCCTAATCTAGCGTTGAAACCTACCAGAAACCTGTGTAGTTGGCATAGAATTGACTTAATATATTAATTGCAGCAAGCCCCAGTTAACATTCTGGCTACTGTGTTCGAGTTTAGATAGAGTTTCTGGATGGTCTTCCAAGGGAACTTCATACTTAGGTTCCTTTGGGAGTGCTTGGAGAATTGAGCTGAGTCCATCCAGAGGTCTCAGTTCTGCTCATGCTGGTTTTTTTCTGGTTTTCTAGGCAGTCAGCGCACTAGCAGGAGTTCAAGACCAGCTCATTGAAAAACGTAAGTTGGGTTCAGCCCTCCACCACCACAAGCCAGTCACGCTGCTGGCGGGATTCTTTCCCACAATGTATGCTTCCGAGCTTTCAAAGAGTAGAGTCAGAATTCCCGCAGATGTGTGCGGTGGCAGTGAAACGCAGCTGGCACACTCTCCAAAGCCAGCATCTCCTGTGCCAAGGAGAGAGCTTGGCCTCACATTGTCCAGTGCTCTCCATGTTTACTCTACTTACTCTACTGGGAATTTTAGAAAGGTTATAAATATACTTGACCCTAACCAATGACTTGCCCTTGCCTGGATAGCCCAGGCTAGCCCAATCCCGTCAAATCTCAGAAACTAAACAGGGTCAGCACTGGCTAGCATTTGGTTGGGCGACCACCAAGGACTACCAGGATTGCAACACGAAGGGAGGCAATGCAAACCACCTCTGAACATCTCTTGCTGTGAAAACCCTGTGGGGTTGCCATGTCAGCTGTGACTTGGCAGCAAAAAACAACAACAATCACTGACTTAAATGTGAGCTGGAAATGCACAGTGTGCTTTGCTTGGCACTAGGAGTGGCCAGTGGGGCTGCTCTGATTTAAGAGGGCTTGAGGAAAGCTGCTGTTTCCTGAGCAGCACTTGTCTGTCTTTGTCCCATTCCAGGAGAGCCTGGGAGTGGGACCGAGAGTGACACTTCCCCAGATTTCCACAACCAGGAAAACGAGCCAAGTCAGGAGGAAGCGGAAGAGCTGGATGGCTCCGTTCAAGGCGTCAAGCCTCAGAAAGCCGCTTCTTCCACCTCCTCAGGCAGCCACCACAGTAGCCACAAAAAACGGAAGAACAAAAACCGACACAGGTGAGCTGGTGGGGCAGGTGCGGAGTGGAAGGAGTTAGGGCAGGAGTCCTGGGGAAGGACCCTTAATTAAATGGCAGCTGACAGGAAATGTGTTTGGTTCTTCACCATTCATATAAAGGAGACTCTCTCTAGAATAGCGGGGTGAGAGGCATGGAACTCCTCACATCAGGAAGCAAACTTGCCCTTGACCCAGACAGAGACATAAATGGGAAGAAGGTATTTTTTTTTAAAGGCAGGGTGGTCTTCATGCCAGTAATGTTGGGAGGTGCACAGAAAATTGCAGAAAAATGCAGGCCTGCTTTGGTGTAGTGTCTGAGTCTTAACTGTTTCTATGATCCTGGCAGCCGAAACAAACCTGTTCACCATCCCACAAGCCCAGGTTGTGCCTGGTGCTTTCAGCTGGGCACTACGACCTGGTGCCCAGTAGGTGAGCGGTGGTGCCTTCTGTTCTCAGTCTCCACAGTGACGAAGGGTGGGCCGTTCTGAATTGGGCTCAAGCTTGCTTGTTTGCCGCCAAACTACTGATTCAAAGGAGTCATCTTTGAGGAGTAAGCCCAGGGTCTTTTTTCTCTTCAGCAGTTGCAGAGCCTTGAAGTCAAGATCTGGCACCCTGCATGCAAATTTGGGTTGTAGTTTTTGTGGGATGGCTCCCACCTCTCCTCCCCTCTCTTCCTTGTGGCTCTTGCTGTGTTTGACTTTCTTGTCTCGGTTTTCCCTGCCAAATGACCCATGCGCTTCCTTAACCATTTTCAAATTCACACGTGGCCAGAGTGATCCATCGCTCTCTCTAGGGGCGTGTGGCTTTAAAAGTACCCTTGGGTGGTACCCCTGCTTCCTGTATTCCACCTGCTGTTCCTGCAGTTAAGTCTTTTCGAATACACCACACCCACAAGCTCAAAAAAGTTGGGGACTCCCGCTCTATCCCCTGAACGACACGTGATCCCGTCAGAGAAGTGGGAGATCCTCTCCTTTCTCATGTTGTTTCAGTGGTCCAGCCGCAGATTTCTCCCCCCCCCCCCCCCCCCCCCGCGTGCTCCAGGGTGTCAGACAGAGAGGGGCTCTTCAGGCTGGCAATGGGGATGAGAGATTCTGGGGGTCGGATTGTGTAGCACCTTGTCCCTGGCTGTCTTTATTTTGGAATAATTTTGCTAGGGTGGCTAATCAACTAATGGATTTAATTCCTTAGTCAATTAATTTCTGTTGCTTTCTTCCTTTCAAATGCTGCCACTCAGTCCGTCTGGCATGTTTGATTATGACTTTGAGTAAGTTTGACTCGACTTTGCTTTTTGTGCTGTGTTAGTGTGCAGACCCTCCCACTCCCCCCCCCCAACTCCTCCCTCCTCAAAACGATTCTAACCCATAGTTTATCTGTTTAATTGTAGGTATGTATATTAGATTAGGCTGGCACTTAAAAAAAAAAAGACAAAAGCATTGATGGAGGTAATACTTTATTTAATAACTTGGGCAAAAAAAATCCAGTCGGCTTCACTCTTCTGCTTCTTTATGTCGTTTTAAAAAGCAGATAAACTTCTCTTGAGGTTTTTTTACTTAAAAAACTGACATTTTTTTCCTGCTTTGCTTTCTAAAGTTGATTAGCTGTGCAGGCGTGGTGATTCCCCCCCCCCCCAATACAAAGCATTCCAGGGCCCCTCTTGGGTGACTGCAAGTGTATCCAAATCCTCTTTAATTTTGACACTCAATAAATGATCTGTCTTCTCTTCAGAGCGTTATTGTTAACATGCTAACCTAGTGCATGCCTTGATTCTCTTTGCCTGATTGTGTCTGTATGGGTGGAAATTTGCCTTTCTGTGCTGGGCCGGGGTGGGGGATTCTGCTTTGGCCTGGCTGTGTTGGTGAGTGGGGATGAGCTGACCACCTGCCCTGTGCAGCCACTGGGGCTTTGCACCGTCTGGGACCCCAGTCAGGGCTGACCGCTGTTCTCTTTTTCCATCTCCTTGCAGGATTGATCTCAAGTTGAACAAGAAGCCCCGTGCTGTAAGTATCCGCCTGGATATTTTGAATATTTGGTGCTCTCCTCCTTCAACCTCTGATCCTTTTCTCGGGCTTTCTAGCCAGGCTCTAGCACCAGAACCAATCCCTCTTGTTTCCTTGGCTGCAAACTGATGGGTTGGGGACTAATTGCATCTTCTGTTTGGTTTCCTTAATGGAAAAATACTGTTCTTTGCCCTTGAATATTTCCTTTCAGCAGGTTTGGAGGGGCAGCATCATTATTTATGTATTTATTGTATTTACTTCATTTATACCTGCCTTTCTCCCTAACGGGGTCCCACAGCAACTCACATCATTGTCCCCCATTTTATCTTCACAACAACACTGTGAAGTAGGATCGGCTGAGACCCACTGAGCTTCCATGGCTGAGTGTGGATTCGAGCCTGGGTCTCCCGGATCCTAGTCTGACGCTCTCCCTCCCTGCCTTCCCCAATATCTTGTTGGAATGGGGACTCGCATGTGGGTCTCCCAGATCCTAGTGCTCTGACCCCTACACGACATTGCCTTTCATTGAAAGGTTAAAGTTTGGGCTATATTTCCCAAGCACTAGTTCTGTTACTGCTGTGCTGAACTTCCCTTTCCTTATCACCCCCTTAGATTGGTGGGTGGGAGGATCAAGTTAGCTCTCTGCCTAAGCCTCTGCATTGATCACCTGCCTTCTCTCCTCACCACAGGACTACTAGGCTCCTCCGCAGTGAAACTTCCGGGATTGGTCCCTCTCCCCCACCGTAGTCCAGGCCAAGAGACTGAATAAGCACAATGCCAGCTCCCTCCTAGACCTGTGTACCTACTCTTGCTTGTAGCCCAGACCTGGTGGTGACAATCCCTGGCTTCCTGGTACGTCTCGCTTCTTTGCTGATTGGAAATCGAAGCCCTCTTCTCATTGGCCACACTTACCATTTCATCACGTGTGTAAAAGAACCCTTGGGAGATGCTCCTGTCGATGTTTCCTCGTGCCACTGCCGCCTCTTGATTGAGTGATTGATATTTTTTTTTGGTCTCATGTATGTTGGATGGTCGTTGGTTGTCTTTTTAAAATAAATCTTGGTATTTAATTTTCCATTTTTTAAAACAATAAATTGATCCAGATGTTACAGGCCAACAAGAGAATCAGCCACAGGGTGAGCTACTTTAAACAAAGAATGGTGCCTTTGTTTAATTCTCCTGGTGTGTCTGCTTCAAACTGGAGAGAATGGGGTGGGGGTGGGGGACAACACTTGGGCTGAGCCTGTCTGTAGTCCACTTGCCTGCTTTTTTGGGGAAATAAAACACTAAAACACACCTGTCTCCTCTGAGCTGGAGGTGAATCTTCTCCCTGTGACAACCAGGTCTAGAAATGGGCATGTTAGTGAGGCTGGCTGAAGCAGCAAAGGCTCCCCTGTGGGATAACACTTGCAGAGTGTCAGCTTGGAAGAGGGGGAACAGTCCGGATCTCTATGCATGTGCAGAGTGCCCCAGGGGGAGAGCCTTTGCCTCACCTTCGTCCTGCTGAGATCAACTCTATGTTCTGAACACAGCTCCTCTACAAGCCACTGAAGGTTCCAGAAGTTGCTCCACCCATCTGACCAGGCTGACTGCATTCTGCCATCCCATCCTTCAACATGAAAATGGCTTAGTGAGCACTTGAAGCTGCCTTATACTGAATCAGATCCTTAGTCCATCAAGGTCCGTGTTGTCAGACTGGCCATAGCTCTCCAGGGTCTCGAGCAGAGGTCTTTCACATCACTTGCTGCCTGGTCCTTTTAACTGGAGGCTGGGGATTGAACCTGGAACTTTCTGCATGCCAAACAGATGTTCTACCACTCAATAAAACAGAGCTCTCATACTGAATCAGGCCCTTGGTCCATCAAGATCTATATTGTCTACTCAAGCTGGCAGTGGCTTTCTTGGGTCTCAGGCAAAGGTCTTTCACATCACCTGCTATCTGATCCTTTTAACTGGAGATGCCAGGGATTGAACCTGGGACCTTCTGCATGCAAAGCAGATGTTCTACCACTGAACTACAGTTCCCCCCACCCATAGCAGCCAGTATCTTCTTCAATTTCAAAGGACAGCTGAGAACTCTGGTGGCACAAGCAAGCCTTATGTAATGGGCTGTAAAAAATGAAACGGGGAAAAGACGTTAACCATTAATAGATTGGAAATTCTGGAATGGACCCTGTGCAGTAGAGCTGGGTTATATGTGAAGGGGGGCCAGATTGGTTCAGGCACCTTTGGCACCAGAGAGACCTTTACTGTGGGTTCACAGCATTGGGGCTCCTCTAGGTAAGGTTTCACTCACCTTCAGGGTGACGGTTCCTATTGGGCAAAGAACCTGTGTGTCTCCCTGGAGTCAGCAGGCACCTCCCTGCGGACAGAATTGACTGGCATAGGGTAGAGATGGGGTGCAGTTTTCGGAAGGAATGAGAGAAGACAAGTAGGGGGCCTGCAAAACTCATGGGGTGGATCTCAACCACCCCCATCATCCTCTTGTGTGACAACGGTGGTGGTATCTGGGAGTTGCCACATGCCTGGAACGGTTCCCAGGCTCCGCCATGGCTAAGGCTGCCAGCAGTTCCCAGCCACTGCTGCTGCAGCTGGGCCAGCTGGCAGCTCAGCGGCTCTGCTGCTGCTGCAGTCACCACCACCACTGCAGCGGCAACCACCTGGGCCCCTCTCCAGTTGCTCCATGGTAAGTGAGGGGGAATTTAAACCTCCCAGTGTTTGTTTGTTTGTTTTACTTTTCATATTTTTCTGCAAACCTAGGGAGTCACCCAAGTTTGCAGAAAAGCCTGATTGGGGTAAGTGTGCCCCCTATCTGTGGGTTTAGGTATCCACAGATAGGGGCACACTTGGAAATTAGATATATAGATAGCCATCCAAGTCCCTGTCTGCAAGAGAAGCCGAGGCCATCGGCAGCAGTTTTCACATACACTGAAATCTTTTGCAGTCTTCACAATCGTTTGCAGATAGTTTCTTCACACAAGAAAACCCAATTGGAAACTATCTCTAAAGTGCATTAGCCAACTATGTGTGAAAACAGCCATGTGTTTCCTGTTGAGGCAGTAGCTGAGATGGCAAAGGTGGGGAGGAGGGAGTCAGCAGGATAGGTCGTCTGGCATTTTATGGTCTAAGAAGGGATAAGAAAATAAGAGAAGCCAATGTTGGATCAGGCCAATGGCCCATCCAGTCCAACACTCACAGTGGCCACAAATACCAGGTGTCATCAGGAGGTCCAGCAGTGGGGCCAGGACACTAGAAGCCCTCCCACTGTTGCCCCACCCACCAGGCACCAAGAATACAGAGCATCACTTGCCCCAGACTGAGAGTTCCTATCTATACCTTGTGGCTAATAAATCATATCCTGGGTCAATATGTGTTCTAGTCGGGAAAAGAGATTGAGTTTCTAGACACTCTTAATGACTGTGCTGTGGAGCAGATGGTCACGGAACCTACCAGGGGAGAGGCGATCCTGGATTTGGTCTTAAGTAACGCCCAAGACCTGGTAAGAGATGTAAAAGTGATTGCGCCACTTGGGAACAGTGACCATAATGTTATTGAGTTCAACATTTGTATAAATAGGGAGTTACCCAAAATGACCGGCACCACCACTTTTAACTTTAAAAGGGGTAACTTCTCTGATGTGAGGGGACATGTGAGGAAGAAACTGAAAGGAAATGTAGAAAGGGTCAGAACCATTGGGGAAGCTTGGAGACTACAATCTACAATCCTAGAGGCTCAGAAAAAATATATACAGCAGGTTAGGAAAGGCACAAATAGGTATAGGAAAAAGCCTGCATGGTTAACTCACAAAGTAATGGAAGCTGTAAAAGGTCAGAAAGATTCCTTTAAGCGGTGGAAAGCTAGTCTCGCTGATAAAAGGGAACACAGGCTGTGGCAAATAAAATGCAAGTCTGTGATCAGGCAGGCAAAAAAGGAATATGAGGAGTATATAGCAAAAAATATAAAGACCAACAATAAAACTTTCTTCAAATACATTAGAAGTAGGAAACCAGCCAGGGAGGCAGTGGGGCCCATAGGCGTAATCTGCGGGGGCGGGGGCGGGAGGGCTTCAGCCTCCAGCCTCCGCTGAAATTCCCAGGAAGGGGCTCAGCCTCCCCCGGGGGCAGGGGTCTTTTGGCGCCGGAGTAAAGCCCGCGCCTGCTCCTCCGGGCCAGCCCCGCCCCGCCTGCGTGCCCAAAGTTCGCGCCGCTGCGCTGCTACGCCTGAGCGGTTTTACGCGGTGCTGAAACGTGATCGTTTACCGGGGCAGAAGCAGGACTTGGCAGCGGGTGAATTTGGCTTGCATGGAGGGCGGGGGCTGGGTTTCTCCCCTTCTTTCCCTCCTTCCCTTTATTTTTGCAGAGTCCCTAAGCGTGGCGTGGCGGGAGGAGGGGGGGCTGGTGCCGGCGCCCACTTTCCCCGGCGCGTCTTCGCTGCTCCGCAGAGCGGGGCTCATCCTGCAGGCAGCTCCCCAAAGCGGCTCCTCACCTCAGCTTAAGTGCGCTCCGCTGCTTGCCAGCTCGCCCATGTCCTGGAGAGCCCCGCGGCCAGTCCGAGGAGGCGATGACCCACCGAGCGAGGGAGGGAAGGAGGGAGAGCG